GATGGTTATTTTATTTTGATGTTTGGTGAGACCTAACTTGAGAACACATTCTTGAGTAATTAAGCTAGTTTGGGAACCACCATCAATAATGGCTCGGACTAGGTGTCAGTTTGTTATTTTTATCCCTTATGCCGATAATGGCTGTGCTTAACATCATGTTTGAGGTGGAATTGGCATCGGCAAAATTACAAGTTTTGAATGAGGAAGGATTATGTATTTCTTTCATGTCATTGGGTTTGGTTTCTAAGCTCTTTTCTCTTGAGAGATAGGGGCCTGCAGTTGCATTAGTAGCTGGACGATGCAAAAGGGTGTAATGCTTGCCATTGCATTTAAAACATTTGGAGGTTGATTTACACTCGGATATTGTGTGAAAACCAAGACAAGAAAAGCACAAGAAATGCTTTTTAACAAAATCATTTCTGTCAGATAAACTTAGTTTCTTAAACTTAGAACACACATAGATCTTATGGTTGGGTTCTTGGCAACAGGGACATATGTGGCGCTTTGCAGTTCCAGTTAAACCTTTTTCATCAACAGTTGACAGCATGAAACTTTTAGAACTACTTGGCTTAGGAGATGTGTTAAGTCTATTTTGCTTTAGCTTTCCCTTGGATGTAGTAATTTCTAGGATTTTGAGTTGTTGCTGTACAAACGAAATTAGATCCTCAAATTCTGGCAGATCTTTATCAGAACCCATGTAGCACAGATGGTTGGGCCAACGTTGGCCAACTGTGGGACAGTTGGTCGATGGTTGGTTGGAGCTTCCACAACCAACCAACCGTTGTCCAACTGTATATCTCGTAGTTGGGCCAACCAATATTTACAACTGTGGACCAACATTGGTTTATTGTTAATGAAATACATGAATATGCATTGCTGGGTATCATACATCAAGCCAACCGTTGTCCAACCGTTTTTCACTCCGTTGGACCAACAAAAGATACTTTTGTTGGACCAACAATGGTCCATAGTTGACTTTACACGACTTTCATTCTCTGGGTCTAGCTTTCACAACATAATTATAATAAAATATCTGGTTTTACAATACCTTTATCAGTTCCAAAAGTTTCCAAAAGTTTTTGGAACTGATAAAGGTATTGTAAAACCAGATATTTTATATATTACAGTTCCGGCGCTACAACAATGAATTTTAATAATTTTAATAATGCAAATATTTTTTAAATTAATATTCTTTAACTTATTTGCAACAATTTAAGGGGAAAGAGTAATTAATCATATAACAGGCAATTATAATAGCATTAACAATCTAACGGTAATTAATTAATCATTCAAATACCAGTATCCTCTCTAACTCCAAAAAAAAAAAACTACTTATGATGCCTTAACAGATTAACAGAATCATATTATACTGTGTAGTATCAAAAATGTTTGAAGTATTGCGACCATTGCAACTGTCGGCTACTCTTTCACCACTTGAAAACTCTCTATATCAGCAATCACAGATAGCTCAGTGGTAAAGTAAGAGGCCCATAAGTCGAAGAACCCGGGTTCGAGACCCGTCTGGGCCAAAAAAATTGTGTTCTAGTTTTTTTTTTCAAAATTTGTTTTTATGAACTATTTAATCAATTTACTCAACTAATAATTATGCTTTTCGTACTAAATCTTTATTATTTTGTGTGAAATAAAACGGTTGGACAATGGTTGGCTGGAAAACAGTTTAAAGAGGTGACATTTCTACCGTTGGCCAACTGTGTGGCTCCACAATTTACCAACGTTGGCCCAACCATCTGTGCTACATGGGAATATTCATTTTCAAATTCTTTGCGGGATGACGATGTTAGTGAACGTAAACCAATGTGTAACATTGTAAAATCAAATAAATTTGACAATCCAAGAGCCTTTAGGGCGCACAGATTTGCGCTAAAAATTTCCAAAAAGTTTGATAAGGTAACAGTAGAATCTTCAGTGAGAGGGCGGAAGGATAAAATCTTATCGAGATAATTTGATGCCAAGAGACGTTTATTCTGATAACGATCAGTGAGAGTTCTCATTGCAATATCATAATTCTCATCACATATTACCAAGGTTTCAATGAGTGAAAGCGCATGTGATTTCAATAGACTGCGTAGATAAGTGAGTTTTTCACTTTTAGATAAGGATTGATTTTTATGAATCATAGAAGTGAATAAAGCATAAAAATTAGGCCAAGCTGATAAAGGTTCCATCAAATGGTTCAATTTCCAATTTAGGAAGGCGAGCTACCTGGGGACTATGGACAGGAGATTGCTTATCAGCAGATAAGTCAGTCTTTGTTTGCTGCAAATGCTTATCTACATTCAACTTTCGCCCAATGGTTTTAACATTAAAATACAAATCATCATAGGACATTGATGCACTATGAACCTCCACTCTATCTCCTTCATCTACTTGAGAGTTTAACCAACTAATACTGTCACTTGTTTGTTCAAACACAGAATAATCATCCTCTAATCTTTGATAACGTGATACAAAAGTCAGTCTTTGTTTGCTGCAAATGCTTATCTACATTCAACTTTCGCCCAATGGTTTTAACATTAAAATACAAATCATCATAGGACATTGATGCACTATGAACCTCCACTCTATCTCCTTCATCTACTTGAGAGTTTAACAAACTAATACTGTCACTTGTTTGTTCAAACACAGAATAATCATCCTCTAATCTTTGATAACGTGATACAAAAGAATCAAACTCTGTATTAAAAGATTGTTTTTGCTGAGCAAGCTGGATACACTTTTTACCAACGTCATAGAGAGCTTGTAACCTTGCATAATACTTTTCTCGCTTTTTGACTAGAGAGTCGATTTCGGCTTTCTTTAAAGCTGCCATTTTAGCTGGTGAAGGAAATAAAAGGGCTAAGGTTTAAGATAGGAATGCTACATAAAAAACCTAAATACTGTAAAACTTTTACTTAAATAAATTCTCTCCTTTGGTCTAACGTTATAGATTACTACAAATTCAGAATCCGGCTCGAAGGACCATTTTGTTGGGGGCGGGTTCAAAGGAGAGAATGAGAAAATTTTACTAAGTAGCCGGAAAGAAATTCAAACTTTAATTTACAAAATATATTTTAAATATGGGAACATGTCAGAGTAATACCAATTAATTAAATGAGTATGTAAACAGTTACTTGAGATTTGAGTCCTTGGGTTTGGTAGAGATGCCTGACGGTAGACTGAAGCGGGGAGCGAAGTTCACCAGGGGCGGACAGTCTTTGAATGGGTGAATCTTCTCCAGGAGCGGGTAGATGAGGGGATTCTGCGTAGCCGTAGAATCCGTAGAAGGTAGAAGGTCACAAAATCATTTAGAGGTCTTCCCGTCACAGCACTTTGGTAATTTTACTAATTAAAAGGCACTCTCTGACATTTAGAAGGGGGAGATATTATAAAACACATACTTTAATAATTACATGTTAAACGTTATTAGTTCACTTTAAAACAGTCAAAATCTAATCTACTATATACAAGAGAATGAGCAAGGAGTACATGTTGACTCTGGGTTAACTAAGGCAAGAGTGGACAGTGCAGACTGGAAAAGTAGGTCAGATAAGATAAGCTATCTTTGGAAATCCTGGTACTAGTAGAAAATTCAAATATATTAAACTAAAACCAAACATGATTCATTAATTCCATTTAAATATGAGTACTCATTAGGTTAACATGGGAAACTCCAGAGCCACTGGGGCGGAGCCCGAGAGTCCGATCAGAATAAAAACCACTCAGTTTTCCTATTTAATGCCTAAAGAATCAGTGTACCAAATTTCAGCCTCCTAGGTAAGTGGGAAGTGGGGGAATTAGTGATGAGTGAGTCAGTCAGTCAGTGAGGGCTTTGCCTTTTATATAGATTATCAAAATTCATGTATCTGGCCCCTGGACTATATTGTTACGACAATAATAGGTTTTTTACATACCTCCATCAAATAGTCCAAAATTTAACTGCTTATTAGCTTACATGTTTCTGCAAAGACAACACGAGTCCGCTTGTCAATTTCGATGTTTTTATCGGCCGTATTATGTGTGCGCACTATGTGTTTATTCGTCGTGTGTTTGTGTGAATGTAAAAAAACTGTTACTGACGACCTTCATATGAAGTAATATCATCCTTGTACACACCCTGATGATGACCTCCTAGCAGGTTGAAACTAGTTGTGAAGACAACAATTGGATTGTAAGATTAAGGTATTTAAACCACTATCATAGTTATTATTCGCAATCCGGAGGCTACCCACACCACAATGAAGTTTAGTTACAAAGTAATCAGATATTTAATTAGGCCTAGTATAGCTGTTCGGTTAAAAGTAGGCTATGCTTTGTTGAAATTAATTAAATCTACAAACGCAATTCCCAAAACTATCAAATGGGAGTTAAAACTTTACAAATTCTGAAAAATTAAAAACTAGTTACAACAAATAAAACGATCTTATCATAAAAATTACTCGTCTAGCTCCTAGTTAAATAACCAAACAGTAAAGTATACTGTTTGTATTACGGTCATCAAAATATAAAATGTATCATAAATGTGTATGCATAAACATGTATGCATGTACAACATGTATGCATAAATATGTATGCATAATCATAATAGATTTTCCCAAAGTTAACCGTGCAAATCATGAAATAAATTAACCCAAAAATAATAGAAACAAAATTTCGTGGACACTAGCGATCAGTGTTACCGAACATCAACTAGACAAACGAGTTTCAAAATTTACAATGGGATGAGAAGTCTATTTATTTGTGTGGCTCCCTATATTATATGAAATTATGAAAACTTAATTTCTTATATCTATTCTTATTATTATTATAATTACTTTAATACACTTTGTCGACTTTTTCTTCTTCTTCTCTATTTATTGTAAACATATGCTTTGCACCTGGTTCTGCTGGTTAGACCGCTGTGGACTGGCTGGATTTGGTTGGATTGACGAATGACGATTGGTCCTTATTCTGCCTTCTACTTCTACGTTCTTGTTTTGGAGATTTGGGGATTGGGGATTGTATTATTTTTTGTAGTAAAGTAATCAAAGTGGGGGTGGCGTCAAGCCAGGGGTACATTTATTATTATTTTTTTAAATCATTAGTGATACATTTTTCATCTTGAATTTAAAATGGCACAAGACATCACACCTCAGTTGCAACAATTAGAAGCTGCTGCCAAAATCATGTTGGTAAGTCCTAGGGTAGGGCTAGGCTACAAAGACTTAAGTAATAGCCTAGCCTAGGCCTATTTGTGTTAGCTTAGGCCTTGGCTCAAAAGGTTTAAACAACTATTGACTACATTTTGGTTGCTAGTTTACTACTAATATTAAACTAGGCCTAGTTCATTCTGTCTCTTTATTTGAAAATACCTAGGTTTTTGTGATCAGATAGGCCTAGGCCTATAAGCTAAGGATGGATTCTAATTTCATATCAATGCATGGCACATCTGAAATTCCTGTACTATTCTTTGAAACCTTCCTAACCATTCCTACAATTCCAATAAACAATAAAATACAGACCTTTACGACATTTTTTGAGGCGCGGAAAACACTGCAAATTGCGAAAATATACGGTAGGCCTTGGCCTATTACTTTTCAAGGAGCCAATGGCTTGCAAAGGAACAAGGAGTGGATTGATACGGACCGGTGACTACTTACCCTTAACTCATAGGCTACTTAAAGTAAGTGGGCTGCACTTTAGTTTACGTCCTAGGCCTACACTCATTCGTATGAATATATTGATTGACTTAACTTATTGATTAACTTATGTTAAGTCCCCTTAACTTAAAAGTGTACCTACTGGTAACCAGCTGATCATTAATTTATTATGCCTGGTTTATTTTAATGTTTTGTTTTAAAAAATGAAAGGAACTGTTCTAAACTAAGTTAAGTTTAACAAAACCTAAACTTAACCAAACTTGCTGTATGGTTTCATGTATTGGTTTCACAAGAGAAAAGGCATATGGGGAAGTCAGGCCGGGCTTTATGAGGATTCGTGACTACGGTACATTAGCCTAAGTCCTTTTTGTAGGTAGGTTAGATTAAGTAAGTTAAAATGTACGGTAGGTTATATAGCCTATAGGTGATAGGGTTGTTTAAGTATTGATGTTACACCGATGTTGTTTTTTATCTTTTGGAATAGTTGATCAAATGAAGAGACAATTTCAAAAAATTGTCCTGTCTTTTAATCATTTAAAAGCCTGATCAAGCGGGGCCTGACTTCCCTACATGCCTAAATAAGATCATTCATTGTTTCAGTTTCAACCGAAGTAGATCCGTATCAGTTCACTTCTTGTTACTAGGTGTGCGATGTGTTCCGTGCCTTAAGAAAGTAGTTCCATATATTTCCTCAATTTTTGGTGGTTTCCGCGCCTTAAAAAATGTTTTAAAGGTACCGGTATTTTACTTATTGTTTATTAGGATCGTTGGAATGGTTTAAAGGTTTAGCCTAGAAGAAAAGTCCAGAAAGTTCAGAAATACCGATGAAATACATTAATTAGCCTAAGCCTAACTTATCTGTTTTTTGATCAAGTTATTCTTAGTTTAGGCCTATTTTTGTTTTCTTCTTTTGGTGTTCAGAGGTAGACTTCCGAAGAGAACCTGCGATAGGTAGGCCTATATTATCGGTTTAATAACGATATCCAAGCCTAAAACTTAGGCCTATATCAAAACTTGTTCAGTTCGATATAGGCTATAGATTAATTCTATTGTAACCATCAATTTCAAAATTGGTTTGTTTAAGTTTTTATTGATAACTAGCAGTTACCCAGCGCACGTTACTGCGCTTAACAACTATTATTTTAAATGGTAATTTGTTCTTTACGACGAATAATAAAAGTGTACCAAAAATCAAAATAGAATATTTTACTTAATTGCCAGTGGATAAACAATGTTTTTTTTTTTCATTATATAGGTGTATAAATATATACTTAAGTTTTCAGGCGTACCTACCACCACGCAAGATTCAGCTGTCTGTGTGAAAAGCATGTATTTTCTAAATTTAAAACGACGATAGTCAAGGATTGCCCTAGTGCCTCGGAAATCCTCAGTACCGGTAGCCTATTGTTGGGATTAAGACTTAATTGTTTGTTGATAGTGAAAAATATTTATTTATCGTAGTTGTCAGCTGATATGTTTTCATTCCGTTAATGTCAATGTATCGGATTGAAAAAATAAAATTTTGATATACCGGTAACGAAGAAAATCATCGATACCGGTAATACTGAATGTCCCCTTCAACAGGAAAGTACCAATAAAACCTAATAACCAAAATATAGGAATCATTTTGTACATAAAGGAACTCTGATTTGTTTCAGGCTCCTCCAAACATAGTTACAAACGAGCAGAGACATGCCGCTGAAGCTGTGTTTTTAAATTTTAGAAAGACTCAATCTCCTTACGCCATTTGCAAACATATATTTGGTATGTAAAAAGCTGTACTTTAACATTATTTGTTGTTTCAACTCACAGAGTAAGCCTGCACATGAATGTGCTTTAAAGGATCCACTCTACCTTAGAACTATATTACAATGCAGTTTCGCCCAGTTTCTGTTTCCATCAGATTTACTAAATTAGTTTTTTAGGCTACTTTCAAATGCTTCATTTTACAAATCCCAGTATCATACTATGTATATTTTAACATTATTATTTCATACAGAAAATGTAGCCTAATAAAAAATGGAAACAATTGTAATATTAAAAGCTGTTTTCTAGTTTTTTTGCTTTATTCATCTGACAATAGGAAAATAGTGTTTTATTAACAATTAAAATTAATCATGACAATCAGTAGGCCTAACAGCTTTTTTTTTTATTTAACGCCTCTTTTTCTATATTGATGAATTTTTTTGTGTTGAGAAATTTTAAAACAATCCTTTACATTGTAATTTTTAGAAAACTGCACAGTGGACTATGTGATTTTCGAGACAGCGGGCACTCTGAAGGATGCTTTAGTGAGGGAATGGAATAGTCTAAGCAGTGAGGATATCTCTACGCTACAACAGTACTTGCTTCAATACGTCATCAGCAAACCGACACTGCCAGTCTTTGTGAGGGAGAGGATACTGCAGGTGCCTACAAATATAGTTTAATACACTGCCGAGTTAACCTAACATTTAGAAAGTCGCTTTTGAGCTTGAGAAAAATCTGAAGCTTGACAATTTAAAATCAAACCCAGCTGTCCTTGATCAGTGGGATTTTTAATTGTCCTGACTCGAGAACCAGCTGATCTAGGCCTAATTCAGTTTTTAGCTGTCATCTCTTTCTCTCAGCACTCACACTCTTTCTCACACCCTAGTTCGGACCAATGGGATTTAGTCTCTGACGTGAGACAGGTTAGATACAGGATACAATTGACCTGGTTGGTTAATGTTACCATAGACGAGATCAGCCCCATTGAGTTGATCATTGACAGTAAGTAGGTGTTTAAATTAGCCAGGCCAGAGATGATGTCAAAGTTCCCCAACAACTGACCAGGGGATGTCACACAATTTTCTCAGAGAGGCAAGGCTCAGAGGAAACTTGCAATGGTACACCTAATTGGTGTCAAGCACTAGTCGCTGGTTTCTAGGGCAAAGTCCAACACACCCCCCCTCCCTCGTTCCTTCGCCATCATGTACTACAAAGCTTATGGTAAAAAAAGATCCTGTGCCTTGTGCGATAGAAATTCCGCACAGTGCTCTCCGCTTCCTTGCTTGCCGTAAGTATATTTCCGGCTAAATGTAACGAAGCTGAAAGCGTATAGTCGTCCTGTTAGTGAGTGAAGCTCCTCTATACCTTACTTCTCTTTGCCTATTCTAATTAAAATTCGCTAAATAAAATGAAGCAATACCCAATGTGATTAAAACATGTTTAACAGTCCCATCAACACATTTATCAATAGATTTTATGGTTTAGTTAAAACAAATTACTTTTTGTGACATATTATTTCTGAAAAGTAATTCTTCATTGGCAGTTCTAACAGTCTAAAACTTGATTATTTAAAAGGTTTTATACAACGATTTTCTCACCTGGTTAAGGATTGTAGAAAAGCATCATACTTGAATTATTTTAACAATATCTGCAACCAATCCCTGTAGTCAGTTTGTTGATAAAATGGTATTATTTCTGCAATTTTCCCACAATATTTATTAAAAAATTATGTTTTTTGGCTCCTGAACTATTTTATTAAGACAATAATAAGTTTTTATGTACCTCCGTCAATAGTCCAATGATTAAGATGGCTCAGTAGCTTACTAGTTTTGTTGCGAAGACAAAATTATCAAAACTTGCAACTCGTCAAGAACACATTATAACAAACACGACACGAACATAAAAATGTTAGTTACGTATACACAATTATTTAGATAGCACTATCATGATAATACTGAGTTGGTCCAGAGCGGCGCGGGGTCGGAAGCAGACTGGAGGTCTACGTCACGTCGTCTCCTCTACTGTTATCAGATCTTCGATCAGCTGTTCTTGTATGTAGGATTGTATTGAAAACAAGTGAGAACTGTAATTTTTCATTGAGGTCTTTACATGGTTCTTCATTGAAAAATTTATATATCTCAAACACCTCCAGAGTGTCAAGTTTGCTACCTTTCCCACAGCCATGAAATATTTCTAAACCGTCGTCGATGCTGCTCATTGAGTGATTTAAGTCAATCAGGTGTTGGGCAAAGGCTGATATCTGCTTGTCGTTCTTGGAGTTGGCCTGTGTTCTTTGTTATAGGTTTCAAATGCCTGGCCTATGTATTTGCACGGGCAATCTGGGCAACTAAACTTGTAAACTCCAGTCTTGATTAATTTATTGTTGGTTCCTCTATTATTGTGCCTCTTCTATTAGTTTCAAACTTTGATAATGTTGTCTTCGTAACAAAACTAGTAAGCTACTGAGCAATCTTAATCTTTGGACCATTGAGTATGGACGGTGAGTTGTGGACGGAGGTACACTAGTGTCTCAATGTTTATAGGTGATAGCCATAATGATCAAACGAGGGAGCGTGACCGATTTCGGAATGGAACGAGGCAAACTTCTAACGGAAGTAGAACAGCTGATCATGAACAGTAACGACTTGCCCAAGGTTGGTAGAATATGCTTCTGATACAAGAATAAGCTTTTATATACAAGAATACACACCTTCATCTGGTATATGTGTTCAATGGTTCAAGGATCGGTTATGTTTTACCTTGTACACTTTTAATTAGATTGCTGCTGTAATTTCTTAACCTACAAAAGCTTTTAAGGTTAAATTTAAGTAAGAGGCAATTTAAAACAACCTTGAGAAATTCCTTTACATACAATATTCTTAAGTTGGATGTTTTACGATTTTAGTTTATTTAACAAATATGTTTTTGTTATATGTTCCAGCAAGTTTTAGGCTGCAGCATAATCTCGGCACTTATTCAAGAATATGCGACCACTGTTAAGTCTTCAGATGTCGGTCTTACGTGGGAGACACATTTCAAAGCAAAAAAACAGTTTGAGGTAAAGAATGAAACATCTAGTGCAGGATCGATAGTTGGGAAAAATAAGAATAAATAAGTGAAGGCCAAAAAGTAGAAAATTATCTTGGTTATGCTGGGTTTGTTGTTTCACAGTCACATTTAATTGAGTATGATAGCTTAGAAAATTCGTTTTGAACTGGTTTTTCATTTTTTAAATGCACAAATTTACATTGGGGAAATTCCCTTTATCAACAGAAAAAGGATTAATAATGATCAAGAGTTCATATAAATTTGTAAAAGTTGGGAATTAAGCTTTAAAATCACCTACATAGTTTAAAAATACTGCAGCATATTGTCAATCATATATTTATCAACTGTCTTCATTTTTGCACCCATACTAACCTATGTAATCATTTTGCTTGTGAAGATACAACATAGAGATAAATGGATTATAACTAAAGTCACTACTCTCTGGTTAAACATTAAGGGGTTAAACATTAAACACGAGCTCGGGACTTCATAGTCCGCGACCAGACGTTGGTCCCGGACTATATAAGCGACGACCAAAAAATGGGTTCACGAGTCAGAGCCTAATGATGTGAAAGCCGGGCTCAGTGTAGGTCGAGACCAAATCCATAGCGGAGCCTAATGACAGGGATTCGCAGGGAATTTCTGTTGAGACGTTGGTAACAACCAACAACAGTCTGGAAACACATGTGAAGCCGCTGCTGCTGACATACGCACTTCCATACAATAGGATGATCGTGAATGGGTTCACGAGTCAGAGCCTAATGATGTGAAAGCCGGGCTCAGTGTAGGTCGAGACCAAATCCATAGCGGAGCCTAATGACAGGGATTCGCAGGGAATTTCTGTTGAGACGTTGGTAACAACCAACAACAGTCTGGAAACACATGTGAAGCCGCTGCTGCTGACATACGCACTTCCATACAATAGGATGATCGTGAAAAAGGCTGAACCAAAACGTCCAAAACGATTATTTTTCGCGTATTTCATTGTCCAAATGCTGACCTATAATAATCTATCTAATTTTATTGATTTATAAACAAAACAAACCACGTTTGTATGAAATCAGATAATGAAAGTCTGTAGTGAAATATATTTTCTGTGTGCATTCTTATAATTCAATTAAGATGCATGACATAAAATAACTGGGTATTTATAACCAGATGAATGCCTATTTTGCAATTGCCCGATAATTTAGGATGGTATTTTGGATAGGATAATTTTAACTAAACTTATTTCAATGGTACAATTATTGAAACTAAAATGTATTTAGAGGCACTGATTATTGATATGAAAATCGTAGGTATGTGCTGGTTTTAATCGTGGTTGTAATATAGGAATATTCTTTCCGTTATTCTTACACTCTTTAACAATCTAACTGTAAAATGTTGAAAAAAAATATTCTGCAGTTGGTATTATTTATGTTAACAGCTATGGTTTTTATTTAACATTTTTTGTGTTGTTGCGATTTTTAAAATCTGTTTCATTGGTATTACAATGCGTTTATATTTAGGAAATCCTTTTTTTTCTTTGGGCATTAATATATTTGGATTATAATAGATAATGCTAGAGGTGTTTAGGCTCTGCAATAAGTAGACATCTTGAGGGCGGAAGAGTGTGTATTTTCTAAAGACAGGGCTGCCACATATACAACACTAAATTATACACAACTGCATACATGATATACATATAACATCTCCCTCCTTTAGAATAGATCAAAACAATAGGAATCACTCTTACTTCTTAGGACTAAATGTCAACCGTTTTGGATTCATTACTACTCTACCTCTAGATGTTACATAGCCGTCAAAGTTTTTTACAACGTCTCCCTCATCACAAACATCTGTTAGGCCTACACAATTCTCTTTAGAACTAACAGTTGGATTTCTTACATTTACAAAGCTTCTATGTACAGGACTTGCATTTTGTTCATCATTACTATCAGCACAACTACTAGGGAACAAATGTACACGATTTCTCCTATAGGTATTACCATTGCTGTCACTGATTAGGTATGATCTAGGTTCTCTGGCAGGAGTTTTAGCATGAGCAGGACTCCAAGTAGAGTTAGGATACCTTTGAAACATTACAGGTTCACCTACAGATAATTTTCTCAAAGGTTTACTAGACCTATCATAATACCTTTTACTTTTGTGTCTATTGCTAAGCATTTGATTCCTGTAGCTTGGACTAATAGATTTTGGTTTTAGTAACTTTGAGGATATAGGCAAATTAGTTTTAAGTTTTCTGCCCATTAGGGATTCCGCTGGAGACGGCAAATCACCACGAGGCGCACTTCTTAAATTCAACAACGCCAAATAAGGATCATCATTGCTTTCCTGACATTTAATAAGTAATTTTTTTACTGTCTGAACCGACCGCTCCGCTAAACCATTCGACTTAGGATAATGTGGACTCGATGTAATGTGACTAATATCCCACAAAGTAGTAAATTCTTTAAATTGACTACTGCAATATTGCATGGCATTATCAGAGATCAAAACTTTAGGTATACCATGTCTAGCAAAAATTGATTTCAAATGGGTTATCACTGTAGAGCTAGTACTATCAGGCAACAAACTTATCTCAATAAAGGTTGAAAAATAGTCAACAACTAACAAATACATCTTACTGTTAAACATAAACATGTCTGTAGCTACTTTTTCCCACGGCAAGTTAGGAAATTCATGACTATTAAGAGGTTCTTTACACACAGAGTTTCTGTGTTTTTGACACACTGAACAACTAGATACAACATCATTAATTTGACTTGACATACCTGGCCAAAACAATATTTCCCTGGCACGCTCTTTACATCTCTCTATGCCTAAATGACCCTCGTGTATCCTAGATAACATGTCTTTTTGCAAAGATTTAGGTACTAACAATTTATCATTCTTGAAATAACTCCCTTAACACAACTCAGGTCATCCTTGTAAGTCCAAAAAGGCTTAAGTGAATCATCTAACTGATGTTTAAAACTAGGCCATCCATTGTGAATATAATCACTCAACTTACACAAAACTGGATCTTTCTCTGTTTCACATTTGAAATTATCAAACTGTTTGTCAGAAATAGGTAGCTTACTGATAATTGCATTGACATGTATATCAATTTCAACATCTAACTCATTATCATCAAGTGTTATTTGATCTATTGGTGCTCTAGAAAGCGTGTCTGCTATGTGCAAATCTTTACCCGGTTTATAGGCTACATTTAAATTGTATGACTGAACCCGTAATAACATACGTTGCAAACGTAAAGGTACTTTATCAAGTGGTTTCTTAAATATAGACTCGAGTGGCTTATGGTCACTCTCAACACTAACTTCTCGACCATACACAAATGAATGAAACCTTTCACACCCAAAACATATAGCCAACATTTCAAGTTCAATTTGCGCATAATTCTTTTGAGCTTGATTTAAACACTTTGATGCATAGGCTATAGGTATTCCATTTTGCATAACTACTGCACCCATACCATCACGAGAACTATCAACACTTAAGGTCACTGGTAGGCTAGTATCAAAATAACCTAAAACAGGTGTATCACATAAGGAATTCTTCAATCTTACAAAAGCTTGATTTACAGATTCATTCCACTCCCATACACTATCAGTTTTCAATAACTGTCTTAATACAACAGATTTCTCGGCATAGTTAGGAATAAACTTGGCCAAATAATTGGTCATACCCAAAAACCTTTCAAGTTCTTTTCTACAAGTGGGTGGGGACATGTTTCTTATTGCTTCTACCTTAGACGGATCTACTGATACTCCCTTATCACTAAAAACATGGCCTAAGTATTTAATTTGGCTAACGCAAAATTTACATTTTCCTATGTTAAACTTGAACCCATTATCTCTAGCTCGACTAAGTACATCTCGAAGGCGTCTATCATGCTCTTCTTTGCTAGTTCCCCATACAACAATATCATCAATATATGACTCCACCCCTTTTAACCCCTCAAATGTTTGAACTACAATCTTATGAAATATCTCTGGAGCACATCTAACTCCAAAAGGTAAGCGCTTAAATCTATACCTCCCAAAAGGTGAGCTGAACGTGCACAAAAAAGAACTATCTTCAGTCAGTGGAACCATCCAAAATCCTGCATTTGCATCTAAAACTGAAAAATATTTTGCACCCACTAACTTACTGGAAAGCATATCAATCGTAGGTAGTTGGTACTGACACATTTTAATATTATCATTTAAAAGCTTTGGATCTAAACATATTCTAATATCTCCATCTCGCTTGTGCGTAATAACAATGGGACTAACCCAATCAGTAGGTTCATCTACCTTTTGTATTATATCCATAGATTCCATTTCTACAAGTTTAGCTTTAACTTTATCTTCTAACAACGCTAACGGTATTCTGCGAGCACATGATACAACAGGGACAGCATTGTCCTTAAGTACTATATTACAATAATGTGGAACACATCCCACCGAACCATCAAATAATTCTGGAAACTCATTCACTACATTACTGTTGATAGATGGGCTTAATTTTGACCCTGATACACTATCAATTTTCTTGATTAAATTCATCTGTACACATGTGTTTAAACCTAACACCGGATCACATTTGTGGTCTACTACATAAAAGAACAATTTATACATTTGATCTTTGAACTGACAATTTAAAAAGCATTTATCCAATAAGGTCATTTTTTCACCAGAAAATGTACAGATATTGACAGGACTACTTTTTAACACATCCAAACTAAGTCCTAGATCTAAAAACAATGTTTTAGAAATTACATTAGCTTGTGCTCCTGTGTCAAGCTTAAATGACACTTTTTTATTTCTAACTAACATTTCTACTCGCCAATCACCTACAGTTTCAATAGGCCTACTGCATTTAATTAAATCTTTTTTCAAATCTAGTCCTCCCACAAACAAATGTCCAGAACCATTACTACTAGGCCTACTATGCTCAGATGTCTGACCTATAGGTTCTTCTACAACAGTATGTACCTGCTTGCCAAAATTGCACATTTTTGAATAATGATTATATCTATTACATTTAAAACATCTTACTCCAAAAGCAGGAAATTGTTTAAACGCATGTACTTTACCACATTTGTTACAAGGATTACTATTACCCTTAGGCCTACCACTATCTTTACATTTAAAATGTTTGTTTTTGACATGTTGTTGATCAGGTTTGTAAGAGTTTTTATTTCTTTTTGTTTGGACCGCATGAAGATTTGTAGTTTGAAGTTTATCTTCCAATAGCCTAACCTGTTGAAACGACACTTCTGAGGCTTGACAAATATCCATGGCCTTCTGCAATGTTAAATCTGACTCACGAAGAAGTTTCTCTTTAAGCTGAGGACTTCGTAGCCCGCACACAAGTCTATCTCTAATCAAGTCATCCTTTAAATCCGAGAATTCACAGTCTTTAGCCTTGTTACGGAGATCAGTAACAAACTGCTCGACAGATTCCCCATCCAGTTGAGCTCTTGTAAAAAACTGATGACGAAAGAAAGTCACGTTCTTTTTAGGAATGAAATGTTCATCAAAACGTTTTACTACATCACCGAACTTATTTTTACTCTCTTCATCAGGAAAGGTAAAACTATTGTAAATGTCAATTCCAGGCTCCCCCAGGCACGTTAACAATAAAGGCACTAATCTGTCCTGTTTAGAATCTAGGCCTACTGCCTTAATATACAAACTGAAATCTTTGTTTCCACCTTACCCAGTTCTCTGGTACATTCCCAACAGTGGACAGTTCTCCCGGTGGCACTAAATTAGCCATATTTATATTTTCAATCTGTACTTACGTGACATAATCCATGTACAATTAAACACGACCACGTTTCTCCTATACAAACCATGCTGTTTTTTGAGGCAATCAACCCTAGTCGGTATTTCTAACAGTCAAATAAGTCACTTTCACAGTTACCACAGGACACTTTTCTTCTATAAACTTTTATTACTTTACACTAATTCAATTTTACTATAACCTTTTATTCTGACACCATAATATATTTGGATTATAATAGATAATGCTAGAGGTGTTTAGGCTCTGCAATAAGTAGACATCCTGAGGGCGGAAGAGTGTGTATTTTCTAAAGACAGGGCTGCCACATATACAACACTAAATTATACACAACTGCATACATGATATACATATAACAGGCATAGTTTCGAACTGAAAATTGATTTGTTCTGCTTTCATTGCCAAACAAATAGCTACCATCCCAAGCTTTACTAACATCCAATAAATCACTAGTTTCTCGATGAAAAGTGCCATCAGCCAAAAATATTAGTGCAACTAACATTTTTTTCAATTTAGAATACTGTAATGGATTTTACTGTCGGGAAATCCGTGCCTTGGAGTGAACGCCTCAAATGACTTCATTGACGGCATCTTTGGAAACATTTAAATCCATCTTTAAATTCATCAAGTCATAAAAGGGGTTTAGCATAGATAAAACATACTCCCTAAGGTTTTAGTCATGATAACGAGCTGGTCCTATGCGAGGTAGTGGAGTGATGGTACATAATTGTTAACATAATACAGTAGGCCTATAGATATTTCATACTCATATTCAATACACACGGCGACCAGTGAGTACAACACAAGTCGGTGATCACCGCGAACCGTACTCAATGACTGACGGTTTGTTTGATGTTTCCCACGGCAAAAAAACTATTTCTGATAATTATGTTAGATAACGATGGTTTAACTGAGGCTGATTAGTTATATTTATAGTCTATGCATAATTTTGTCGTTAAAATTGTAATAACATGGGGCTTATCAGTAAAAATATCTTTGTTATGATACTACTTTGTTAGGTGCATAATTTATCTGTCGTTTTAAGTTGTTTGATGATCTTTTTCATGTTTTATGAGCCTTTTTCCCATTTTTACATATTTTTTTAATATGGTTTTGTGGGTAATGGAATTGTTCGGAATTTAATGAAGAACCATATTTAAACATTCGTTTTTAAAAAATAATAAAAATAAAGGAGCTAATTAGATAAAACCGGCATGATGTCACCTTAAACCTGCCTCCTACCAGGTCTGAGTCGGAGACCAAACACCATTGTTCTTTTGGGCCCGAACCATCTCATTTGGGCTCGGACTTGACTCGTGAACCCACCGGGACTAATGATCAGAAGCCGGGACTATCTGTAATTGGACTCGTGAACCCAACTTTTAAAACCGGGTTTTATCCCTGCACTAATTGTGTGCCGCCTATCAGTTTGGTCCGCGGCTTATATAGTCTCGAGCTCGTGAACCCGATTTTTTAAGTCGCAGCCCAAATACCGGTTAATTCCGGATTCTGGGCTCGGACTACGATAGTCCCGAGCTCGTGAACCGCCCCTAAGTGCCATTAAGATGGTCTCTTGTTGCTGTGTTTTGTTGATCACACTGCCTCGGTTTGTTTGGACTCGTCAAATAACTCATCTGATTGGATCTAATTTGACATCAGTCCAACCAACCAATCATATGGCCAACATAACAACACAAAAAAAACAAAAAAAAAAAAACATTAAAACCAGCAAAAACAGTGGCACAGAGTGGGGACTCCAGTTATAATCTATTCATCTCTTTGAGATACAAATGTTATTGAAAGTGGTACGAATGAGTTATAAATATGCCAAAGAACACATTTATCCGTCAGCCAATCTTTATCTTCCTAATATTTTTTTTATATTTGATTTGTTCTGACACTACTGTTTTTTCTTCCACATAGGGGGGGGGGGGGGGTGCTGTTCAGAAAATACGGAACATTTTGGAATCAAATATAAGTTTGTTCAGGAAAACATGTAATTGTAGTCTATACAAAAATAATTAACAGTCTACAACTGTAGTCCTAATTGCAGTCTATTAAACCAAATTGTAATTTCCTGCATGGTTGCCAATCAAATTGAGACAGACACTTATCATAGCGATGGAAGCTTTTAAATTCATTTGTTGTATAACTTGTTGTTTGCGATCTCGGTGACAAATGGAACTTCTTGACAGAGTCCCATTGAGGGGGCTAGAACCCTAGGCCTGTGGTTAAATTATTTATTAATTGTGTATTTTTATTTTATTTGAAACTAAAATTATTTTCAAAATTTAACTTTTTATTTTGATTGATAATTTGAATTTTCTACTTTACATTTGGTATTATTTGTGTTAGTATTTTGAGTTGGCAGTAAAGTTTAATTAGTAATTGAGTGGAGTTCTGCTGCTGTAATAAGTGGGAGAGAACCCAGTTCACATTAGCGGGAGTTCGAAATAAGCGGATTTCTGTAATAATTGATCATGTTTGAAGGCGATCACAGGATGCGATGATGATGTCCCTGCGACCATGGAGGATGTTCACGATTTTGCAGTGACTACAAATAATGTTTTCAATTACTCTGCATTTGCAGAGGATTTTGTCAATTGTGTTGTATCCTCGAAAGAATTTTACCATTTTGCTGTGACTATGCCAAGTTTTTGTTTTAGCAATGACAGGGAGTGTCAACCACATCTTCTGTGCTTACTGAACAGTACTTCACCATTCGATTTTGCTCTGACTGCGTTAGATGTTCTCGATTTCATGATGGTTTGTACTAATTAAACAGATAATGGTTTCTAAACATTAGTTCGCAAAAGGCGGGACTCTACTGTACTGGTATTTGAGTTTTACATACTTACCTAATCGGAAGAGTAACTGTAGATAGCACTTAGCAGTTCAATGAGGTATGCCTTAATATCATTTATACTTTAAGTACTTACCGATGTATGAATCATTGTTGCAGGCCACTGATTTGAAGCGTATCCTGCAGTTTACTGTGAGTGCGTTGAGTGAGATCGCCAAACTGACATCTCCATTCCCACAACCGGCCGTCACATTGTTGAAACATCTGTTGAGCATCTCGGACACAATCCTAAACTGGGGCTTCATCTCCGCTCATCATATCCTTTGCAAACTCAAAATTAGTCTCCAATTTTAGTCAAGCCTCTTTACCTCTAGCTTACCATATAAGTTATAAGTTGATTTAATTAAATAGTAGTTTTGAAACTTCAAGATTGAAATTCAAAATGTCGAAGTAAAGATAAAAGACAAGTTAATTAGGGAGACGAAGGTGAATCAAGTACATCAACTTATATGAAATTTAGATTTGCTCATATTAGCCTATACAAGATTTACAATTACTTCAAAAGAAAAACGACAGTTTCCACTACTTACCTGATTTAAAAATCACACACGTTTATCAAATGAAGTTGTATGATTGAATTTAGTTTCTAAAAACGTTGGCGGATGTGTACCGGTAACTATTTTATATGTAAAGATCAAAGAATGTTTCTATTTTGCGTAGGCCTACTCTTCTCGTTGCAAAGCACGGGTACAACATAAAATGAGGATAATTTATGCCAAATGTCTGTCACAAAAGATGAATCCTTAACAGTCTTACTGCCCAAAAGACTCATCGGCGTGTTTGAGGTGGTGTTTGAAGCAGACAGCAGTCCATCACTAAAGCTCGGACCTCGATGGAAAGATGTTATTTTGGACCCGAATCTCACCAACCTTTATTTTGACGTGAGTAAGAAATTTCTACCTGAAAGTAAGCAAGCACAATAGGTCCCCATCAGGAACAAACCATTTACCAAACTGAAAATATACAGTAAACTTTCTTCTTCTCTTCCTCTACATGGCCTGCCCATCTCAGTCGCCTACTCTTCACTATGGCTACAATGACCGGTTCTTTGTACAGTTCTCGGAGTTTTCGGTTTTTCTTATTCGCCATAATAGGTCCAAACACTTTTGGGTCATTTATTGGTTTATTTATCGGTCCAACCTCCAAATTTTGTTCTTAAAAATGATAAGTTTGTTTTCATAATTTTTGTCAATGTCCAGGTTTCTGAGCCATATAAAATGACTGGTTGGATTACAGTATAGTATTTTAAATTTGTGTGTGTGTTCTTAATATGGTAATCCGAATCGCTTACAGAAAGAGTTTAATAACTTAAATCCACAATTAATGAGAATTGTTATTAAATCTGGTACGGTCCTAATTGATTTGGATAGGCCTAGTTGGAGTTCTACTTTAGCTAATTTTTCTGTGTCTGAGCTTTGCGAGAGGGACATTTATAAAATTAACAAAGGAAGTTGAATGGGGTACACGGATTCTTTGCAACTCAAGCCTATTAAAATACTTTTTGCTTATCCTTACCATATGTATTCACCAACAACTTCTTGAAAACAAATCTGGATGTTTGTGATCAATAACATGAGGAAAAAACAACAACATTGAATAATTCCTAGAATGTAAGAGTAGTTGTGGTTTTATAATTTAACACAGATTTTTATACTGTCTTTTTTTAGATTCACTGGAAAATACGCGACAATCCGACTTTGGCACACCACTCTCTCAGCTGTCTGGTACAACTGGCATCCCTTAACGGCCCTGTCATGTCGTCCAAAGAGGTGCAGATGAACTACATCTGCAACTACCTGCAGGCATTCATCAGATTTGTATCCAAGTGAGTTTAAATACGGTTAACCTGGATAATGGTTTTTTAATCCACCTATTATAATTGTTTGTAGGTTATGTCCTTTAAGTGTCTTTTACTATATAAGTATTTTTTTACCAAAATATAATCCAAAAAGAAAAATATCCATGTCCTTCTCTATACCAATGTTAAGGTAAGCATAACAGGTGTTGTGTGCAATTCTCATTAAACTAAACTACTAAAATGCCATCAACTTCCAGCTGGACACTGTTTGTATAAAGAGGGGCCCTGTCCGTCCAGCTAAGCCACACACCAGACTCAATATTGATTGCACGGGATTCAAACTCGCACATCTAGAAATACCTCTACGCTACAATTAATTGTCAGTACAACACCTCAGCCAACTGATCTATCATGCCACCATTGGCCGAAAGGGTCGACAGCCAAGTGCCACTTATCGGCAGCGCTGCCACATAATCTTTAAGATGGAAAAATTACAAAAAAAAAACTTATAAATTGTAGAACGTAGTTTCATATTATTTATAATCAGTGTAAATCTTAAGATGCCACACCTGTGGCAAAATATGCATCAGTCTTTGTGTGTACGTCAGAAACCCAAGGCATCAACCAAAAAACCAACTTAGTATAACAAGTTCTTGAAGCTGGGTGACGCCATTTACTATTATTAGGATGATATTGTGTTGGCAGTGTACAGCTACTAGACAGAGAGGCGTTGGGTATCAGTAACATTGTACGCAAGGTGTTGTTGTTCTACCCTCCGTCCATCCTCATCACGCTACCCTCAGACATTCTCCAGGCGTTTCTTCAGACTCTTACCCGGTTGACTTGCCTATTTGCCGAAGGAGCAGCTCAGGAAGAATCTGTAAGCAGTTTAAGTACAACCTCCCTGATAAGGCGTTACATGCGTTTTAAATAAGGAAAACAGGTTTTAGATGATAACTTGAAAACTGAAAGAGATATGGATTTAGAATTGAAAGTTGCTTGGAATACAATTCAATTCCCTAAAGTTTAAAATTATATGCATTTTGACGTCATATGCTATCTGAAATTTTTGAGTTTTGGCTATGTAACTATTTAAAAAAATAGGTAGGCCTACAATTTTTTTTGGTTTTGTGACAATTCTGTAAAAATACATGTCCAAACAAATTTTTAGGCCTGACTATCCGTGATATTAAACAAACACATTGTTTTCTGAATTTTCTAATCCACTAACGTTATACACGATTTTAATCCTAGTACAAAGCCAACCAGCTATGCCATTTAAAACAATAATCATTTAATTTTTTTTCAGATCTGTGTCGACGACTGTTTTTTCCTGGAAGCATTCGACAACATGTTGAAGGCGTGGACTACCGTGCTCGGAGATGCTCAGATTTTTCCGGAGGACTTTTGTAAACAGTCTTGTGTGCAGATATTCAATACATATCTACAATCTCACCTGTCACCCCCTGATGGAACTAGAGGCACGGTTAGTGACAATCCTCCACGATCTAAATCAATTACACATTTTCATTCTGTTAGCGTCCATGACTTTAAATTTGGCTTAATGGTTTTTTCATAGATATTATCTTTTTAAAAGAGTACATGCGAGTATTGGTTGAACTTTTTCTCTTGCAGGAACCCACAAATACTGTATAGAGCAGATACTGTATAGATCATAAACATAAACTGTGTGTGTATGGATGTAACTGGCCCGAATCCTACATTAATAACATTCATTAACATGGCTTGGATAGTTCCATTATAAATAATGTCAAATAATTAGGGATGGACGAGATTGGATTTTTAGTTCGAGACGAGACGAGACGAGATTTTTTATTTCTCATAAAATTTCGAGACGAGATCGAGACGAGATTTCTCTTCTCATACACAACGGGAAATGCACGTTCAAAATTTTTACCTGATTTCGTAACATTGTTAGATGACTGTTTAAATACTAAAATAATGATAATAGGCAAGAATATTTACAATCTTTCATTAAATAACATCAGCATAACATTTTTTTATTAATCACGCCTAACTTATTAAAAATGCCTACGATTAGGAAATATGGTGATATCAGTTAGGATAGAGTTCAACTTATCCTAAAATAAAATAAATCATAAAATAAAAGCAATATTAATTTTTATAAAATAGTTACTTGTTTTGACTTTTTTTATAGTAATAAAACATTCCTCACACTGCTTACACTTAACAAAACTTCTCAAATGTTATTAAAATAATATTATTAAAATGATGAAAGTAATATTTACATTAAAAGAATTAAAGTAATATTTACATTAATATTAATTAAATAAGAACGCCTTCGAAAAGGAAACGCAACTACAACACGCTCCTGTATTGCGGGTATTGCATTGACTTTCTGCAGGCATTTTTAATTTTTTTTTTTTTTTTTATTTTTTTTTTTATTCTCGTCTCGATAAAAATCTCGGCCAAAAAGTAATCTCGTCTCGTGTAACGAGATTGAAAATTTCCCGAAAATTTCCCGAAATTTCGAGACTTGACCATCCCTACAAATAATGTTTACTTTCGGGCCAGTGACATAATTTCTTTATGTTTATGATCCGTACCGTTTCTGTTCAAATATTCGTAACGAAACCTGTGGTTTTCACTCATGTTTTGTTTAAAGTAATTCCCATTGGTGATGGGTTGGTTGCTGATTTCATCGGTTCAGGGGTTTTTATTAATTTGGTTCTTGGTTTTTGATTTTGTGTATCACTTATTAAAATATAATTTTTCTCTCTACTTATACTAAGAAAGTACACGTGTTTGAAATTTGTGCTTCATGTGGGGTATTATTTAGAAGCAAGATTAGGTTAGACAACATACCCTAACCTCTATACGTTGTGGTATCTATACCATTCACAAGGTCTTATTTTGAAATTCATAGTTAGATACCAGGTTATACTCACAAATAATTATGTTATTAGGTAAATAATGTTCTTGAAACCCTGTAATATATGATAGGATTTTTTTATGTGAGAATACCTGGCTTACCTGATTGGGAAAGAGTCTAAACTGGCACAAGAGAAGAGACACAAAACTTTACTCTCACAAAAAACTTGAACAATCAACTGTCACTGACAGCATTTTCAACTAAGGAGAGAAAGAGTTTTCCAAAACTTTCTCTTCCTAAACAACCAACCGATAAACCGAAACCGACCTTCTGCAACCGACTCATCCCTAGTTCCCTTCTGAGTGTAAGATAAAAGGAACAGATGTACACTAATTCTATAACCCTCCAAAAACCTTAATTCACATCAAAGTAGGTTTTTTTTTTTAGAAAACTAATCACCCATTTGAAATGTGAAATTAGAAATGTGAATTAGTTTTGCCTAAGCTGTTGACAAGTTTTTGAATTGCTTTTTCTGCAGGGTAGAGATGTGGACTCTGAGGAGATAGATGAGACGGAGGAAGATGACCAGGTCAAGTTTAGAGATCAGCTGCAGTCAATCGGAGTTCTTGGCCGCCAGGTGAGTAATACAATTCTCTAAACACATTTTCCTTTAAACAATAAATACCACCGCCGCAGCAAACTCTCGCATAAAGCAAATTTATATTTGCTTAGTTATATTTTTACTGAAATATTTCCCAAAACATGTCAGATTTATTTCCCATCTAAATAATTTGAGATTTAATGAGTACTTAGGTTTGCTGCTACGGGGTTGGTAATAAGGTGTTTTTTTGTATAATTTTTTTTTATTGAATAGCTTATAGCTTGATATGAAATGAAGTTACCAAATTCAATCATAATAATTTACATTTTTTTTTAATTTTCTCTGTATCTGTTAGTCATACAAGAGCGGTTCAATATATTAACTTACTGTATTTGTTTTTTAAAGCTCTACAAATTGTTTGGAAAGAAATTGCTAAATTCTATGCTTTGAGGGGAAAACCATTTTTTACCCCACAAAACCCCGTTCTCATAGTCCGATCATGTTGGTTCGTGAACTTGTTTTAATAAACATAGGTTTCCTCGTTTTTATCAATTATCAAAATTTGATTATTTTTACTCGAGTTATTGTGCTAACGGACACACACACATGTACATAGGTTTTGAACGGATGGTGTTTTTGACCTCTGGGGACATAAAAAAGAAAAAGAAAATCGGTCCCGGGTCTAGGTCTTACCATGAGACCTATGGTAATAGCTACTTCCCTATGGGGAAATTTGCTAAAAGTAGTTCAGTTTTATGGAACATTATTGTACGGTTAAGATTGAGGAATTGCCACAGTTATACTATGTAAATATACACTGCTACGATTTGACAAGACCCATTCATCGTGGCACAACCAGGTGGCTGGTGGCATCTGAGGACAAATTAGTGAACTACTTCAAACTAGATTGTTAACAGCTCATTGTCCATTAGTTGCTCAATCTTATACAGCTGTTCCCGATTGTAGTGAGTATGATGGAGCCAGATTGTTTTCGAACGTGAAACTATGAGTGATTGATACAAAGGAAGTTTTTGAACCCTTTAGAGAACAATCTAGTTGTGAATTTGGATCAGCATTCCAGTTTAGAGCCACATAGCTGTTTTTGGATTTTTTTATTATGAAATTGTTAGCTTAATCACGACCATCACCAACACTTTTTCATCAAGGACAAAATGAGGGATGATTTGGCGCAATTTGGGAAAACATACCTTTAGCCTTGTCCGGCAGGCATCCAATAATTTATCAGTAATATGTTACAGATCCCTGGACATGCACTGCCACTACTGGCCAAGCTGTTGGAAGATCGCACGTCTCGTCTACACTCCCAGCTACAGCGGATTCATATGCAGGCTCTCAATATCTCAGAGTCCGCTATTATAGACTGTCTGTTTGAGGATATACACTGGCTGCTGCTCATTACAGGTAATTGTAGTTCTAGTTGTAAAAATTTATACGGGACTTAGTAAATTATTCTGGTTTTAATTTCAATATCCAATGAAAGTTGTTGTGGTCAATCTAATGAACGTTTTGTTCAGCAAGCATTCGTTTTCAAAGGGACATCACAGTTAAGAAATTATACCAGATAAAGGAATTACTCTTTATGGTAGCCAATATTGTTCGAAGTATACTACATTGAATTAGGATTGCACTGTGCGCACTTGTCCTAACTATGTTCAACAAACAAACAGTAACTTACAAGAAAAAAATCTATCCAAAAATAAAAATAAATCCTCTTGGGCAGGTCACGTGATCTGTATGGAGAGTGAAGGAGAGACTGCCTTGATACCTAGCGAGATCATGCACTACAGCATACAACAGTCGACCAACAACAGTGTGAACATAGACACTACGCTGGCACTGCTGGGGTCTCCGAGCCAGAGCATCTCTGAGATACCCGGTGCTGAACAGTCGGCCGATCACGTTGTGAGACTCGTGGCCGCCGTACTCAGGTACGGCTGATTAGTTCACTATACAGTAGAAATATATTGATAGATTAGATTTAGACATTCCATTCCCATGTTAAGTTGTTGCCTGTTTTTTTATTAAATTGAGCCTCCAACAGGTTGTGCCGATGTAAATTACTGGTTTATGTTGAATCCACTCTATTTTAACACGTTCACTGCTGAAAACCTTTACACAGGCGCTCCAAAACTGCGGCGAGGTTCGGGCCCCGGCGCGCTAACTGAATCAGTGATCGCTATTGGCATTTAAATATCTCAGTAGGACTAATTACAAAAGAGCAATGGTTATTGTTCTGCGTTAACCCGAAAGTGGACGTAGTTACCTGAAACACCCAAAGATAGCAGCACTGCCTGGATCAATAACCAGAGTCTTTTTAATATGGCTCGAATATAGAAAATCCCCGAAATGGTACAAAAGCATTGCCAGAAGTGATTTTACAGGGAATTTTAGTACCAACCTACAGCAGAATAAAGCTTACATTCTAAGCTACAGGCTGGCAACAATTATAACGTTCTCCGGCAAGAAATTCTCCGGAGAGAATTCCCGCCCCCTGCACTGAACTTGTTAACACAGTCAAACTGATAAAACAACTTATTCTAAGCTTAAGCATCCCTAAATACGTTACCTTGGCCAGTATACGGAGTCAGTATACGGAGGCCATCCTTATACAGCAAACTGTGGCGGTTATGTTAGGATGGATTGAAAGTATGACTCATCAAACCAAATCAAATCATCTGGTATCGTTCAATTCATAACGAAACCAGGAAAGTCCTACAAACATATTTATGATAACCCAATCTAACATAACCGCCGTAAAATAACTGGCCTCCGTATAATTCCAAAGTTCCCTAAAGACATATTAACCATCTCAGTAACAAAAATAAGGTAGATCTTGGACTTGATTAGCGCATCCAACTATGTTATTTTTTTTATAAAAAATTTTCCACAGCTGATCCATGTAGGTGGGATATCTAATTCAGTATCCAAAAGTAATTGGTAGATTGAATAATGTGTAAAAGATTACATTTTGTAATTCACTCTCTTCATTGAATACACCATATGTTTATCCGTAAATGCAATAAATTGTGTGAAAATAAAACGATGCATTATTATGACTGCTCCTTTGATCACGACAACACTGGAACAATTTACATATTAGTTGACTTTTCTCCCAAAAAATGGTTCGGATTAGCAAGGTTCCGATTACATAGGACCTCCGACCTCTTACATGGGATTAAATAACTCTGTTTGACTCTTACAACCTTTTATCGAAAGCATAATTTTGATATGGAAATTTTGTTAAGGATTGGCCGGCAAGGTTATTATTTAAGCACTAACCTATTTCCATACTCATGTTTTTGTATCAGGCATTATGCTAGTGTATTGTACCAACAGTACAATACATAGTTACATAGTACATACATTCATAGTTGTGTGACTGCCTGCAGGTACTGTGAGGTGGAGATGAAGGTGGTGGAGGCCAAACTAGCACATCTTCTCAGTCCTCAGGTAACACACCAATCCTGGCAATAGAGGTAGGGATGCTGAGAACTGAAATTCCAGGACAGAATTTTCGTCCTGTTATCACGATTACGCCTCCTGTCTATGTTTTGTTGTCGTCGCGTCGGAGGCATTTAAAAGAAAAAAATAACAAATAAACAAATTATAGCTACACAAAACAACGATAAATGCACAAATTTAAGTTACAATCATGCTAACACGATCCGTCATAGCACACAAAACAACGATAAATACACAAATTTAAGATACAACCATATTAACACGATCCGTCTTGGAGGTTATGTTTACAAAAACTCAAATAGTAAATAAATGCACTCAATGCGTTTCGTTGAATTGAAAAATAAATAACAGCAATTAAATTATACAGCTGATCAAAATAAAAACAATTATGTTCTTCATAAGGATTACATGGGAACTTTCAAAGCCACTGGGGCAGAGCCCAAGGGATTTTTTTCAAAAATGTAAGGCCAGTTTGCAGATCTACGCGACACGCTCTTTCCAATGAGACATCAACGGATAAAATCGGTAAAGAAATGGCGGAGGAGTTCAACCGACAAAGTTTCATGTAGCGTATTAATTATACAGGGTTATTACAAATGATGTTCATGATTTCATACATACATGAAATCTATATATATAATACGTGAAGCCGTTTTTTGTTAACGCAACTCCTCCCTTATTAGTGGACCAATTTCAACGTTTAAGGTGTCAAAAGATTCGTCTCGATATGTAGTTTTGCAATAAGGTTTTATAATTTTTAAATTCCTACTCCTAAGGGCGTAGGGCTCTCTCAAAGGTCGGGTTTTCTCCATAAGAAATGCATAGAACAATTTTAAAAACAAAAAACAGCTGTTTATAAATCGTAACTTATTAGCTTTTTGGGAGTAAATATTAATGTTTGTAATATTCAGTAGGTAAAACAGTTAAACAATGTTGTTGGAAGAATAGAAAATGCCTTATGTTCAAAGAAGAAATATTGAAAACGGGAGGATGAGACAATTAGTAATATGATATCTTATGCGTATGAGGAGAGTAGTAAATGAGAGGCCTGGTTTGACTGAATTCACCAACACATTCCAGACATTTCAAGTAAAAATTAAGAAGTTCCAAAAACTCATTTGCTATTAAAAGTTTAAGTTTCAATATTAGACAAAACATAAGTGAAGGAATTAGTGTTTATGTAACTTATTCAACGATCGAGTATAGTTACGGTCAAGTTTATTTTTATTATTCAGGAGAGGCAAATAATATACGCTGTTCAAAAAGATCAAATGAAATTTGTATCCAAATCTTATAGCTACAAGAGTTATCCAACCTATTTCGACAAATGAATCCATACTTCCAAAACTTTGGGATAGGAGGAAACTCCACTGAACAACGTGAGAACGTTCTGATGTGGGGCATATAAGTTACTGTGACTGACAGACAACACGTTAAAATACGTTAACCAACTCTCGAATTGAAGCAGATCATTTACCATTCATTAGAAGTTGTCAGTTAAAACTGAGAGCAGAAATAAAGTAGGTGAACCTTGACGACGCAAATAGAGATATTTAAAATTAGTCTCTAACAAGTGTTTAAACAACTCAACTCGAATTTAAGGATAACGTTTTCCTCGGCGTTTCATACTATGCGGCTCATCGAGCCGCACTTGTTCTCTAGTATAGTTTTATTTGTTATACAAAGAAATAAAATGGTTACAACTTTTGAAAAATAAAGTTTTGACACAGATACACAGAACTGTAAATGCTCGATACGGGAACCCATTGTGGTACGATAGATGTCAATAATGTAGTCAAGCTCTTGCTAGACTTTGAAAAGTGTGTCTAAGTCTATTGTTTCGATAGCATTGGAAATCCGTTGCTGGATCTCAAGTATGCTATCTGATAATGGTGGTGTGTACGCATTATCTTTGATGTATCTCCACAAGACAAAAATCAGGGGGTGATGTCCGGAGATCTTGTAGGCCAGTTCAGGGGCGTGTCATTATTCGGACCACCGACCTCGTTCCATATCTCAGGCAGCACATTGTTAAGTTCAGCCCTACTACAAGTAACATTCAAATTCAACCATTTCTCTAAAATTTCAAGTATCACTTGCCAATATAGTGGTTACCAGGAGGATAGTCGTTAAACCTGGTTCTAAAGTGTCGTTGCACACTAATAACAGATTGGTTAATGTAATATTCCAACTGGCTAAAAGCTTTCCTGCCTTCAAATTCAGCCATTACACAACACTTACAACAATTGACTTGACAAACAGCTGATATGCACCCAAACCAATGTAAATGAAACTTTATGAGTTTTTCTTTCCAATGGTACCAACTAAAATAGTCTTGAAACAAATTAACCCAGTAATATTTATAATCAAAATCAGGAACATCATTTGTAATAACCCTGTATAGATAAAGCATTAGAGGACAGATTTGTAATTTGCATTTGTAATTGTGAAATCTATTCAGCTCAGTCGTTTAGTTAAAATAATCCAAGAGGGAAAATAAGTTTACACAAAATTAATAGCTATATAGCCTCTTTGGGTGCCCTTAGAAATTTTAAAGTCTTAAAAAATCTTGTTTTCAGGTTAGCAGCACAGTTCTGTGGTTCCTTAGACAATGGGCGTTGTCCTATCTGCTTCCCACCGAAACTTACTATTCCGAGGTAAGTCTATTGTACCACATTCATTGATGTGCTAAAAAAGTTTGTCAGTAGTTTACAAGAGGCTAGAAACCCGCTAATCTAAACTAACTGGGATCACACTGTTCGGATTACCAAATTGTTTGAACTAGCCAGAAATTCAGTAAAATTGCATTTAATTTGTATCATAACAGTGTACTTTTATGACTTTAACTGGCCAAATACTGCTCCTGCGATCATGACAATGTCGTGACTCAATGCTGTTCATGAATGGACACTCGTCCATATACTGTTGGCGATTCCAAATTTGCGTAGAAAAATTAATGCACAATTTCGGGTTGGCTAGGCACCACCCTGGTTGGTGTTTTACAATGCATAGTTTTGTTCTTTTTTAAGTACAGTAACCTTTTATCCACACTAGATGGTTCCAATCAACCATTCGTCTGGATTAGCAGGACTATTTTGTAATAGTTGCATTTGAGCAAAACCTTTATAAGCTGCAGGCAAATGCAGAATAGTTTTTAGAGTGCAGCAAACATTATTTAAGCAAGGAGTTAAATATTAATTTCACAGATTTGAATTTGGAATATGCATTATAAATACCAAGTCTACAAGATGTACATGAGGCTGTACATGAGAATCAGTAAGCTAAATAAATTAATTGTTTTCAAAAAACAATTTTTTTTATAATTCCTTATTTATGTAATAGATGAACTCATCATGCTTAACTATGATTCCTTATTTTGAACAATCGAGCAGTAATTGCTACATAAGTTGACTCCTCTAAGCTCTTCAAAAGTTAGACTAAGTATTATTTCTGGTAATCAGATTTGTTAGAAACCTACACTTGTGGTCTCATAAGTGTCGGATTGTAGTGTCCGAATATAGTAGTGTAATATATTAGTGAATATAGTAGTGTAATATTAGTGAATATAGTAGTGAATATGTAGTGTAATATATTTCTCGAATGTTTTACAGATCAGTCTGCCACTTGTGACAGCCTTCGGGCAAGGAACGAACGGTGCGATGTGGACTACCAACTATCTGCTCAAAAAGGTTGAGTCGAATCTGACGTCTTTCAGTTGGGAGCCTAACTTGGTGAAGGAGAGTGTACAGCTGCTTACGTCCCTGGTGGAACTCAGAGACAAGTACGGGGTGTTGAATTAAAAAAAACTTCCTCGTTCACTAACCTTTTCATAACACTAATTTCTACGAGGATTTCTGCTCATAATATTTCATAATTCAAAAGTAGTTGTATTTACAGTTTTAATAAAATAGCCAGCAGGGAGCATTAGTTGATTACTTCTGTACCGAATTGGATGATTTTAGCGCTATTCTGTTGACAACAAAACTTGATGTAACAAAAAGCGTTGTAGGACAGGGTGTCCACCGACCGGGAGAACCGGGAATTATGCGTAAATTTTGTATTTTACCGGGAATTTTCAATTTGCCGCGATGCATAAAAATGAAGTTTCCATGACCGTGGGAGACGATGATGATGTCCAAACTGCCGTGGGTTTTGTTAGTGATTTCGCCGCGATTGGGCATGACGACGATGACGTATACGTGACCGTGGGAAACGACTATGACAATTCCGTGACCGTGGGATACAACGATGACGTTTCCGTGACCGCGGAAGACGATGATGACGTTTTCGTGACTGTGGGAGTGGGAGACGATGATGACTTTTCGGTGACCGTGGGAGACAACGATGACGTTTTTGTGACCGCGTGACACGATGATGTCCAAACAGCCTTGGCATATGTTAGTGATTTTTCCACGATCGTGTATGCGGACGATGATGTTTCCGTGACCGCAGGAAACGATGATGGTGTCCAAAAAATATTGCTTGACGATGATGACCGAGGGAAATTATTTGAATTAAGCTACGATCAAGAAAGATGATGATAACTTTACTGTGATCGCTGGAGACGATTATATTGTTTCCGTTACAGCTGAACAATATCAGGATTTTGTCACGACCACGGTTTAAGGATTAGTTTTTAATTTTTGGATTATTTAATCAGTAATATATACAAATTTAATACTTGTGTCAGGCAATATTACAGCAATCATAAATTTTGTTTACCTGAGAATGCTCTTTCCGATAACTAAAATAGTGATCAGGTGTTAGCGCTAAAACAGCATTGCGGGAATTGGCGCGAAACACGTTGGAAATTTTAGTATAAAAAGTACGACCGGAACTACCTGGAATATTTTTTTTTACTCATGATTTTTTTCTGGTTGGCCTGGTGGACACCCTGTAGGATTACTTTCTTTAGAACAGACTGTACTTGACTTGTACTTTTGACCTAATAATACTGTTAAACCAAATAATCTGTTATATTTTTTACTTCTCAAAATCAAATTTTCCCTGTATCAAAAGCTTATACAGAGATTCAGGGCTGTGCGAATCCAGAAATTTTGGTTCTAATCCGAATCCGAATCATAGCTGTACAGATTTTATCGAATCCGGATCGAATCAGAATATTTTAATTAATCCCGAGTCGAATCTGGGTCGAATCCGAATCTCAAATTTACAGCCATTATCGAACCTGGATCGAATCCGAATCTGAAATTTAAAGCTGTTATCGAATCCGAATATTTAAACCTGTTCAGAGTCGAATCCAAATCCGAGGAAAGTCAGCAGTACCAATTTTCACATTTTTAGACCACATTTTCTGGGGCTGAAATAACTTAGGGAATTGCTTAAAAAAATTCTTGAAGTGGGCCAAATAAAAAAGTTATGAAATTTAGGCCTACCTATTTGAAGTTTTGAAACTAAAAAATTGGGCATAAGTTAGGCATACCACCTAGGCCTAAGTTTCTCGCTAAAAGTGATGGACTACCAATTTGTGTAGTCTAAAACATAGGCCCAGCCTATTATACACCTCGGTGTTAATCCTCCACACAAGCCTATGTCTGCATTACTATTACAAGTAACAACTAACACTGTGAGGTTAAGTTTACTGATAGCCAAGATAGGGTTCAAATGCGACCTACACTAATGTGCCTAAAGCCTAACACCAAGTTGGTCAGGTTCCTAACATGAACCAGTCAACAGCAAATCGGAGTGCACAAGTAGTTTTTTAGTGTCTAAAAAATTATATTGAAAATTATATTCAATCAGAATCTAGTAAATTTGAATATCAAATCCCAACTCGGATCTATTTCCAAGAAATTCGAATATCGAATCCGAACCCGGATCTCTTACCAGTAAATTCGAATATCGATTCCGAATCCGAATCCAGTTAGAAACAGTAGATTCGTTCTCGAATCCGAATCGAATCTCTAAAAAGATTCGGATTCGATTCGTTTTTCGAACTATTCGCACAGCCCTGCAGAGATTATGTCCCAAGCCCTGACTTTTTTCCTTGACCGAATGACAGTTTGACCTGTTGAAACAGGAAATACTGTTTAGTTTTTATTCAATGATAAAGCTATTTCCTGATTTGACCGTATGAGAATTTGACTTAATCACTCCCTTTTCTACTGACAATCATACAAAACATGGGTTAAAAAAGGGGGTTGTATTTTTAGTCCGGGACAGGATTTTAATTTCCTTCCTTGTTTTTGGGGAGTGAACTAGACAGGATTTTTCATTGAGGCAACAAGGCAAACTTAAGTGTGTTATGAAAATCTTGAGTATAAACTCTTGAATCTGATGACTTTATTTTAAATTAAATTTCAAAATAGTAAAACAGCTGTTAGGACTCTTCTTGCATAAAACCACATTTACACCAGGTCAGTAGAGCGGGCAGGTTACTTGCCTCTAGTGTATTTCCAGTTACCTGAGGCATGTAATTTTCTCGTCTACTGGCCTCGTGTAAACACGGCTTAAGTGTCAGTACAGTCTGGAGTTTACAAATCTAAAACTGTAATTCTAACATACATCTTAATAACTCAATCTTTGACTTTTCTAACAGAACTTGACTTGTTTTAATCAGTCGAAGACTTAGCACAGATCTAGTTAGTTGTTTCCATTCTTATTCAGAAAAAGAACATATTATTCTTGTTTTTAAAAGGTGCAACACCTTTTAATAACTCACTGTCTACTAGCCTAACAGCATCCACAAGAAATTGTAAATTGAAAACCGCATGATAATCTTGTAGGTTTATGGATATATTTCTATCAAATTTGGCAAATTTATTTATTTATACAAAGCTATCAACATTCCACTAAAAATCACTTCATTCCCTACCCTGCAGCAACGAACCATTGCACTCGTTAAACATATTTTTTATTATTTATAATAAACCTGACATGTAGGGATGGACGAAATTGGATTTTAAGTTTGAGACAAGACAAGATTTTTCATTTCTCAAAAAATTTTGAAACAAGATCAAGACCGGAATCTCCCTTCTCATACATAACGGGAAATGCACGTTTGACATTTTTACCTGATGTTGTAACATTGTTAGATTACTGTAAAAAAAAATAATAATAATACCGTAGGCAAGAATATTATTTTAATTAAAAATATCAGTATAAAAAATATATATATTAATTACGCTTAACTTAACTTCTCAAATGATAAAACAATTAAAGTAATTTTGTATGTAAATAATTAATTAAATAATAACGCCTTCGCAAAGGAAAAGCAAGTACTACACACTTCTGTATTGTGTGTACTTCATTGACCTTCTGCAGGCGATTTTTTTTTTTTATGTCGATAAAAAAAATCTTGTCTTGTATAACGAGATTGAAAATTTCCTGAAATTTCAAGACTTGTCCATCCCTACTGATATGTATAAAGGAATATTTAATTAAAAATTCAATCAGGTAAATGGAAATACACCTACTGTGCAGTCTGCAGGTTTGCTGCAGCGAGGGTACTCTTGATTGTAACTGACAGTGTTTTGTTGGCAGAGGCGCTGTGGTACTCAAGTGTGAAGGGTTCTGGCAGATAGTTAATCTACAGAGCCGACTAGAGCGGGGCTCGTTGCCTCAGGCTGCAAGACGGGGTCTCATGAAAGCCTTTGTCTTGGCGGGGGCAGCTCTAGATGAGGCTCAAAAGCGGGAAGAGTACTGGTTACAGGTTAGTGTAATCATAACAAATAAATATTATAATATCATGATGAACTTAAACTTAACTATAAAATAATTTTAAAAAATATCACTGATGTATACAGGGTGTAAGTAAAGTTCCAAACACCTGGGATGTGTTCTGTAGGTCAGTATCAAAAGAAACACAATTTCAAAATATTTCCAAAAACGGAAAATTTTGTTACTCAAATATCCACCATGTTGATTATCTTATCTTACTAATATTATAAATCTGAAGGTTTGTGTGTATGTTTGTGTGTGTGTGTGTTTGTTGTTCAATCACGCATAAACTACTGGACGGATTGGGCTGAAATTTGGCATGATGATAGCTCACATTCCCGATTAACATTAAAGCATATTCTTATCTCAAAAACCCTTTCAGGATCCGCCCCAGTGGCTCTGTAGGTCCCCATGTAAATCTTATGATTTTTCATATTTAAAAGGAATTAATGAATCTTAACAGCTGTTTCAATTAAACAAGTTGGTTCTGTTCTATGATGTGCAATAGCATAAAAGTTACAAGGATTACCAACAGGGTGCAGCACTATTAATTTTTCAGGCCTCCAAGTCGTCCTACTTTTCCTACTTTTCCTACTTTTTAGTAGGAAAGTAGGAAAAGTCCTACTTTTTACACATTTGTCCTACTTTCCTACTTTTTTATAAAAATTATGTCGATTTTGCGATATTTTATTACACTTATTATTAATGTTTACTTATCAATATTTCCCAATGAGAAGTTTTTTCCTAAAAATATGACTGACTGAGATATATTTTTTATAAAACAATCTGTTAAATGATTTTAAATTTTAATTTATAAGTTCCAGTACTGGTAGTATCTGTATGGTTAATCTTATCAACATTGTTATTGGGTGAAAACATTTTTTTTTCAAAGACATGGCAATACTATTGTGATAGAAAATAAAAATTGTGATTATTATCAGTGCTCACTATTCTGACATGTCTTTTAGATTCCCCAATGAAGTAATCTGAGGGGAAATCAATGCTCCTGGGGAGCCCTGGGATACTAGTTCAAAAGTAGTTAACTTAGCACTTATCGGTCCAGTGTTTCCCTGATTAGCCTAAACATGATTTTTTTGACATAACTGTATTCAAAATAAATTAAGGCTTAAGTTCAAGTTTAAATGTCCAAGTCTCACTGGCTCAAATAGTTTTTACTCATTACAATTCAAACATTCCTACTACTTTTAAGATAGCTCTAATCTAACTAATTCAAAATACTTTTGGAACATATTTTTAGAATTTTATATTATATATAGTTCCGTACTTTATAGGCCTACTTAAATAACTATTCATGCTTCTGTTTTCCACCCAAAAAAATTCATTTTACTTTTATATTAATTTTAGTTCTGAAATATTAAATAATATAAAAAAAAGAACAAATTTCTTATTTACAGCACCATTTTAAACACAAATTAGGGCTGGTTGGTAACGTTAGGGAAACATATTTATTTTTATACTTTATTTAATACTGATTGTCCTAAATATTTTTTTCGTGATGACTGTAGATAATGACACCTTAACATTTTAATTTCTCTTGTGCGTTACTTCTGAATATTTGGTGTACAATCTCAGCTAAAACTTTATCCGGCCTTTTAGTTGAAGATTTTTTAAATAAAAATAATTAACTATTGATATTAATTTTAAAATTTATATATAGAATTATTTTAGTTATGTTTCCAAAATGTCTGGACATATTTTGTGGACTTCTTTCTTGGGCTAAAGCTGGGTTTTCCTAGGCGCGGAAGCGGAGAGTGGAGAGAGGAACGCGGAGAGCGGACTCCACTTGTCTTAGGTACCTAATTTAATGTTTCTGTTTTCCCAGAAGCGGAGCGGAACACCATGTTAATTTCTTTTCCGCTCTCCGCGTTCCTCTCTCTGCTCTCCGCTTCCGCGCCTAGGAAAACCCAGCTTAAGACAAACATAAAATTCCATATAAGTATGGGTCTAAAATGCCTAGATTTTAATTTGTCGGTCTGTTTGTGATTTTTAAGAATTATTTTATATCTTGGGCATTTTTCAAGATAGAACTTTTAAAATGGATATAAATGTGTAATTTAGAAGGTGATAAGAGCTTGCAAAGTTTCGATCCAATATCTCAAGCCGTTTCAATATGGCAGCCATTTAAAATATTTAATGCCAAATTTAATTTGAAACCGTAAATATTTAGAATATAGTTTCCTGGATCAAAAAGATAGAGAATTCAAATACAAATCAAATGAGACCTTGTTTTTTAAAATCTGATGACAAACAACCAAATCAGTTTTTTCTAAATTTGTTTACGCAATTTAATAGGACTACCCATACTGCTCTGAAAAATAACAAATAAGAATACAGTATGGTAGTGCTATTTAATTGTGTAACCGAATGTTAAAAAAAAACTTATTTATGGTTGTTTGTCATCCGATTTTACAAACAAGGTCTCATTTGATTTGGATTTGAATTCTCTATCTTTTTGATCCTGAAAACCATTTTCTAAATATTTACGGTTTTCATGAAATTTGGCATTAAAGATTTTAAATGGCTGCCATATTGAAACGGCTTGAGATATTGGATCGAAACTTTGAAGCTCTTTTCACCTTCTAAAATACACATTTATAACCATTTTTAAAGTTCTATCTTGAAAAATGCCCAAGACATAAAATAATTTTTAAATGTCACAAACAGACCGACCAACAAAAATTTAGGCATTTTAGACCCATGCATACTTATATGGAATTTTATGTTTGTCTTAGCCCCAGAAACAAGTCCACAAAATATGTCCAGACAATTTGGAAACACCCTGTATATTTATATACACTATTCTATTTGATAAACTATTGTGTATGCTAGTATTATTTGGTTTTTAATATATATTGTATCAGCAAAAAAGTTCGATTTGTATGTAAAATGAAGTCCTACTTTTCAGTAAAAAGTCCTACTTTTTGCTGAAAAAGTCCTACTTTTCCTACTTTTTTGAGGTCAAAAACCACTTGGGGGCCTGATTTTTTTTAAATTTATGACAACAGCTAATTTGCAATGAAAAGGTGAGTGAGCGTAGCGAACGAACTTCAACCTGGAGGCGAGTTAGCGTAGCGAACGAGCTAACCTGAAGGCAAGTGAGCGCAGCGAACGAGCTCCAACCTAAAGGTGAGTGAGCATGGCGAACGAACTTCAACCAGGACGTGAATGAGCCATGCGAATACTTATGAAGTTAAATGGGGCGAAGCCCGCGGGTACAGCTAGTTATTTATAAAGAGAGTAAATCTGTATTAACTATAATAATTTTCTTGGTGAACATCGCATGGTGTCCGATATTCAAGGGCTTTCCGTATTACATCAGATAAACTATGCATACTAAATAAAGCTCTATCTCTATACTTAAATATCAAAATGTATTTTTAGATACTCAAACCCCTTCAAGAGAGGTTCAAAAACATAGTTTGTCAGGAGAATTTCAACCAAACATACCAAGATGATAAGACGAGGAATGAAGTGATAGACATATTCGAGTCTTTTATCGGTAAGTCAAATTTGGTCATCTGTTGTGTTGTTGATTTGTCACAAGTTTATCAGATTTTTTGGTTCTGATACGATTGGGCTGTATATTATAACAAAGGTTAACGTTAGATAGTAACAAGACCAGGGTTTGGACTGTCCCCTTTAAAAGTGCCAATGATGTAGATAATCTAAACATATAACACAAGAAAACTCATTTTTTGGAATATATTTGAGAATATTTTTTCTGTGTGTTTGAAGAAATATTTTTATTCATTAAAATATTACAGGTTTAAAAAAAGTATGATTATAATAGTGAAGTTTCAAATCTCAAATCCAGTTTAATTTTATGAAATGCAATAAGGAATCTACTGAAAGCATTGATCCTCTGTATTATTTTTGTATTTTGAATTTATTTCTAAAACTGATAATTTTCAAAATATTTTAGACTACAATCACAGCAACAACCTTTAGAATATCTTGCTATCGTCAAGAATATTTATAGTCATCCTCACATTGTTCCTGATCCCACAATCCAGTCCATCCTTAAAAGTATTTTCAAAAGCCCTCCTGAAACAGCAAAAGTAAAAATGTTTAGGCCTTAAAAATCCTACTTTATGTTCCATTACATACATCCTTGAACGAACACACAAGTTGTGTTAACTGCTTATGTTTCCAAAACTAGGCCCTAAGCCTAGTTTCACATTTTTCTCTTGAGGTGAACTCGACATTTGTTTTCAACACATCACATCCTTTAATTGTATCTCTTGGCATAATTCACAGGAGTTGTGCAAGGATCCCAAGTATCTACAGTACAGTCACTTTTTGTCTTCCTCTCTCCGATGTTGTACGAGTGTGCTTCCGTCCTCTCCGTCTACCGCAACTATCAGCAGATTGTAGAACTTTTGCTGCAATTGTTCTGCGAGTGTGCTCGGTCCATGCTGTGCTACCTCACACGAGTAAGTGGTTTCCTGTTATTCTGTAGAATTTATAAAAAATCTTGATGAACCTGAAGCGTATTTTATTAATGAAATTTGTAATTTACACATTCGAGTCTTCGGCCCTGTCTAAGTGACTAAATTACATGAAAGACACGTAAGCCCTGGGTGTGTTTTAGCTGGGCAAGCGGTTGAACTGTAGTCACCAGAGCATTATGTTGCTCTTGCGACCAAAACAAACTCACATCTTCCCTATGTTTAGTGTTGTGATTAGTGCTTTTTTGGAATGCCATATGAGGCAGTACAAAAGGCAGCAAAAACACCCTTGTCTGTGGAAAATAATAAAATTCCAATTAAATAATAGTTTTTCTCTTAATAATAGCGGTTTATGGGCCAAACTTTTTTACTTAGAGTTGGCTAAAAAATGTTGACCTCCAGGTCTAAAGCCAAAAATGGGTTGGGCCAAAATCAGGTTCCTTTAAGACGTATTCATTTTTTAAAGTGGTAATTCACTCCAGTTGATTTATAGAATCTGTTACATCGTTCCAACATTGGCAGTGAAATAGTTAAAATCTCCTGTAGTCATGGCTAAATCTTACTCCTTTTAGTCTTCTGCGTTCATAGTGAAATTGTGAACACCTTCTGCAGTCAAAGCAATATTCTAATCATCTTTTGGAGTCATGAAGAACATATTCCGCAGTCACATCTAAATTGAGGACATCTTCCAAGAAAACAACTAAAAGGCTAGCATTGCTGAGACCCGGACACTTCATTTCCAACATTCAGTTTCTAATGAGCTCCTGACATAACACAGTTTGTCTGATTGCAGGCAGAAAGTAGGCAGATGTATGAGTGTTGTTTGTCCACAATACAAGCCTACGCCAGGTGTAGCTTGGGCAAGCACAGTCAAAATGCAGTTGCTGGAAAAGAGTCTTTCTCCGACATTCAGCTTCTAATGAGCTCCTGACATAGCAAAGTTTGTCTGATTGCAGGCAGAAAGTAGGCAGATGTACGAGTGTTGTTTGTCCACAATACAAGCCTACGCCAGGTGTAGCTTGGGCAAGCACAGTCAAAATGCAGTTGCTGGAAAAGAGTCTTTCTCCGACATTCAGCTTCTAATGAGCTCCTGACATAGCAAAGTTTGTCTGATTGCAGGCAGAAAGTAGGCAGATGTACGAGTGTTGTTTGTCCACAATACAAGCCTACGCCAGGTGTAGCTTGGGCAAGCACAGTCAAAATGCAGTTGCTGGAAAAGAGTCTTTCTCCGACATTCAGTTTCTAATGAGCTCCTGACATAACACAGTTTGTCTGATTGCAGGCAGAAAGTAGGCAGATGTATGAGTGTTGTTTGTCCACAATACAAGCCTACGCCAGGTGTAACTTGGGCAAGCACAGTCAAGATGCAGCTGCTGAAGAAGAGTCTTTCTCCGACATTCAGCTTCTAATGGAGCTGCTGACCAATCTTCTTTCCAAAGACTTCATTGATCTTAGTCCGCCAGGTAGGTAAATGTAGAAGGTTTTTCAATTCTCCTTTTCGTCCCTTCCTTCTCTGTGGTAAATTTGTTCTTACACTAATTTATGGTATTGGTAAGGTTTTTTTTTTAAACCTATCCCTAGTTCTAGGTTATAATGATTCACATAGTTTATAATGATTGACTGTCACATACTAATTAAATGGGGAAGGTTTGCTGAAAAAATTGGTCTAAGTTTAACATCCACAAAATCTCAAGTGAGAATCGAAAATATTTTTCATCCGTATTTTACTCTGCAACTAAACAAACTAAAATAACAGCTTTAACAACAGATGCAGTAGACAATCAGTCCTATATTAAAGCTGTGGCCAGTTTGTACATGTAAATTGTTCAAGATGTATTTCAAGTTACAGTAATAAAGAGTTAGAGTTGGACATTATTATTGGTTGATCCAAACATTGGTTTTTTATAGAGGATGGCCTTTCGTCGAGTGGCGATAACCCAAACCTCACGGCAGGCAACGTTTGCTTGTATGGGCTCAACACGATCATGCCTCTAATGACCATGGATTTACTCAAGTTTCCATCCTTGTGCCTTCAGTATTTTAAGGTATGTGCTTTCTTCTGCTTCGTCCTGGATAATCATGTTAAGTGTTTTTAAAGTTTCGAAGAAATTAAATACTGAATATTGAATTTAAAAAATATTTAATAGGAAAGGCGCCTTATACAATGGAGGAACTCATTGAAAAAATGTTCATTAATAATTTAGTACTTAAAATGTTTATACCTAGGCTAGTTTACTGCTTTATATTTGACACTATTTTTGTTCCCATATTAGGGGTCTGCGGGTCCCCGATTTTTTCGGGTCGGGTCGGGCCAGCGGAAGGCCCGAGAGACCGGGTCGGGTCAGAGATTTGTTCGGGCCAAGATCGGGTCGGGCCAAAAAAAATTATTATTATTTTCAAAGTTATAATAAGTAATTTTCAAAGAAACACTCTTATATATATTATTACAGAGGAATTAAAATGTTAAAATTAGAATTAAATATTAAGTTTGCTCACGTTTAAGAACAAAGACACAACAGAGCAATTGCCTTACTGTCACTAGCCAGAGCCAGTCGTCTACTGACAAAACAAAAGCCGTGACTCAACAGTGCAAAGAAAACGAAGTCAAAAGAAAGACTATTTATCCAGAGGTCCCATTTTAATTATTTATTGTTTATTCCATACCTAGTTTAAAAGGGAATGTTGCTGAAAGTCAACAGTCCCGGAAGATCAAATAATTTATACCTGTGCCGCTAGGTCAAAAACTACAATGTTTGCAGTGTCTGTAGATCAAAAGTCCCAGTAAGTCAAATAGTACAGTCCGAGCTAAAAACGTGGTCTATGTTAAAGCAATTGACTTATTGGGAATTTGACCTAATGCAACAGCAGTTTTAATATAACGAAATACGGTAAAATAAAAGTTCAGTTTCGCTGAGTCAACAGTGCCGGAAGATCAAAAGCAATAAAAGTGAACGTCGATTCAGTGTAAAGTAGACCTCCTGCAACGCTTACTACACCAACAAAACTTGCTTTTAGTTACTTCGTGTTTTGTCATAATTAGAATAGAGCTAAAATTATCATATTTGGTACATAGCTTATCTATTAATGCTTCTTGCCAACTGTTTGGTCAACACTGTAAATATGTATAGTTTATGTAATGAAAAGCCTTTCGTCAAAATTTTTGGCATAAAATACACGCAATGACGATCTGAAAATTTCTGGTTATTATATACGTTTGTAAAAGGAGATCCATTTAATTTTAGAACTATTTTATAAGTTATAATGTAGTCTACACATAAACTGTGTAAATGTATTACGCCTCGGAAGGGTTGAAACCTGCCCAAACTATCATATATATTATTAAAACGTAAATATGGTTTTTTAACATTCTGAATCAACCAGTCGACGGATTTTCATTATTTTTGTGTTGAAAGAAAGATAATTTTGAGAACTAGGGAATGTCAAAGCCATAATTATAATTAAGGGTCCCAGTTTTTTAGAAATTAAGTTTTAATTTTTTTAAAGTCTAGCAGCCGACGCTAACCTTCTAAGCCAGCTTTTAGTACAATATAATTTGCTTAGCATAACAGCTGTAAACATTCAGCATTTGTGACACAAATTCAGCATTTGGAAACAAATTTAAAGACATATTTAGAGTTGACTTATTTATACTATGTGTAATGCTGACCATTGATACATTCAATTCCTAGGTATGAGGATGGCAGATTATTTAAATTTGCATAGAAAAATAGTAGGATGTTCAAATTATTTTTTAAAGGAATCTTTGTAATCATCGATTTGTTTTAGTCCTATATAATTTGTTTTAACTAACAGCTGGTTGAATGTAATATTGTTCTATATAACTATTAGGTTTTTGGCGAATTTCCCATATAGGGAATAAGAATAAGCTATTACCGTAGTACTTATGGTAACACCTGGACCCGGGACCGATTTAATTTTTCGTTTTGAGGTCCCTAGAGGCCAAAAACACCATCCGTTCAAATTCATATATACAGGGTGATCAACTCAAGGAGGCCACCATTGGGAAGTCGGAAACGGTAAGAATTCGAGAAAACATTAAATGGGGGACATTCCTTTATTTTTTGTGGCAGTTAAAAATATGATTTTAGTTTTTTTTATCATGTTTTCGGATAGAATATGCAATTTAAAAACTTTTTTAGCCTTGACACTTTTTCGATAAACCCACTCGTTTAGGAGTACAGCCTATGGAAAAATGACTTCCGGTGTACATTTTACATCATGTAGCTCCTAAACGAGTAAGTTTAGAGCAAAATTGCAAAAAGTAAATTAGTCTTAGAATTGCATCTTCATTCCTTAAAGACTATAAAATAAAAAGTTTTCCACTTTTCAAGTTTGCCGCCATTTTTTAAAATAATATAATTTATATTTTTAATTAATTTTATGGTCTTTTTGGAATGTGGATGCAATTGTAAGACTTTTTTACTCTTCGTATTTTTGCTTTAAACTTACTTGTTTAGGAGATACATGATTTAATATGTACACCGGAAGTCATTTTTCCATAGGCTGTAACTCCTAAACGAGTGGGTTTATCGAAAAAATGTCAAGGATAAAAAAGTTTTAAAATTGCCTATTATGTCATGATAAAATGATAGGGTGTTCGATAAGAAATTTCAAATTTGGCCGCCATTTTGGAAAATGGCGGCTGAATTTCAAACGACTAAAATCATATTTTAAACTGCCACAAAAAATAAAGGAATGTCTTCCATTTTAAGTTTTCTCTAATTTTTACCGTTTCCGATATCCCAATGGTGGCCTCCTTGAGTTGATCACACTGTATAGCCTATATTTATTTATTTATATATTTTTCCTGGGGGGAACCCCAAGACCCCCTCCTTTTTGGGGGGTATTCCAGGCCCCCGGTGACCCCCCCCCCCAAAAATATATGTCTAGGAGCGCCCTTGTCTTCTTTACCTATAAAACACATGGGATACAGCCTTTTCTTCACTGATCACGTAATGCGTGATTTTCTATAAAGTCTTGGAAAAATAAAAGGTAAAATAGATAGAATAAAGGTGTACTGTATGTGGTTTACACACAAATATTCATCAAACTGTGTGATATTTTGTTATTGCAATGAACAATTTGGGAGTATCGTATAGTTTAAGTCGATGGAAAATCTCTGTTGATCCTGTTTTACAAGCAAACCAAAAAGATACATTAGTCACCACTCTATGCGACATATTCTAACCAGAAAATTGTAATCGTATGATTCTATAAGCATTGATAGGATTGCAAAGTACTTCACAAACATTATTTCAAGGGTAATAACAGTCACAATTTCCGCCGACTTTAAAAGAGTCAACTAAACTACTATACTAATGGACACACAACTAAATGAAACAACTAATGGAACAACTCACGATGTACATATAACAGTTCGATATAAGCATTGAGTATACACGTCAGTGGATACGTGTATACCGTACCCAATGATATAAGCAACGGTTCTTGCAATTTGCTTATTGTTTTTTAGAGTTGTTTTCGGACTTACTCTGTTTTCGGACGTACTCACACTCGTATAAGGTTGTCCACGTTTGTCATTGATAATGTAGCCATGTTACATGGTTACACCCGTTGTCAAGAATATGGTTACAAGTTTTCCGTCTGTTTTTGAATAGCGATACATTTTTTTCACATACTTAAGAACCACCTGATTTCGTGCATTACATGTTCGTCTCAATTTTAATTGCTTTAGTAGGCATTATTTTGATTGATGAGGACTTCAATCGGTCCTTTCAATAATAGCTCATGAAATATAGTACTTTGTCCATTAATTTTATTGTTTGGTAAAATGGATTAAATTATCCTGCAAACCCAAATAGAAATAGTAAATATAGTATTTGAAACAAATCAGTAACATGTTAAAAATGTAACCTACATTATTTCCTTGAATTGCATAACAGCAATTAACTGGGCTGATCCTAATATAAATAAATCAATATGTTCTTCATAGGCATAACATGGGTTCATAACATGAGCCGCTGGGGCTGAGCCCAAGGGATTTAAAAATGTAAGGTTGGTTTGCAAATGTACGTGACACGCTCTTTCTAATGAGACATGAATGGTCAAAATCACCTAAGAAATTCGGAGGAGTTCAACGGAAAAATTTCGTGTTGGCGTTATACAGTATGGTTGAAAAGTCCTGGATTGGCTATATTTTTTTAACAATATAGATAAAGTAGTGAGACTTGGTATATCAATAATATAATAGCCATAAATATCTACTGTCTTAAGCTATTATCACTGTTTAATCCCTTAAGGGGGATGGACCACAAAGACTAAGACAAAATTCTTATATAATTTTAATACTATTTTACCTGTTTTTGAAATGGCGACCATACAAATGTATGCATTTTAAGCCAAGTATGAATGGAGTTGAGTGTGTGATGAGTGGAGCGATCTTGTTGTCCTGTTAGTGACTAAGGCCAACGTAATCCTTAGACACAGCTGTTAATTAATAGTCCATACAGTCAATTAATAGCAGCAGAGGTCAAGTTTGGTAGGTATCAAATTAAAGGTTTTAATTATAAAAATACATTGCCGCAAACCCAAACTCAAACGATGATGATGATAATAATGTTAATGATGTAGCTAAAACGTTTCGTTTGAAATTTAACAGCTGAAAATAAGTTAAATAGAAAAGGTTTTGGTTAATTCCATCAAATTGTTATTGGACACTAGTAAGTACTAGTGCACTTTTTTATATTGATTATATGATTATATTGATTTACTTTGGATTTTAAAAATGTGAACGTTTTATTTTATTAAAGATTTATGGTGATACGTAAATATTGTGGTGTAGTAATAGCTATTTACATTACAAGTGTAGTAAGAGCGTTTTTACATCACGCAGGTGAATGTTGTGCAACGAGCGGAAGCGAGTTGCATAATTCACCTAAGAGATGTAAACACGCTCTTGCGCAACGTGTAACGTACAAGATTTTACCTGACCCGACAATATACATGGGTTTACGTACAATATTTTTCATTATCCATTTCACTCATCGTCTAACAGTAACGTTCT